GGGGGGGGGGGGGGGGGGGGGGGGGGGGGGGGGTATTCTACCAGGCTTGCTCTGTCATCGTTGCACGCTACTGGGGGTGGGGGCTTAGCATTTCCGTTTTCAGAGATTTAGTTCCCAAATATTCACATGGGGGTCATTTTTTATTCATTGCAAGAGGCGACAGGCTGAACTCATGTTGGGGCCTGGCTGTGTTGTCCTGGGTGATGAAGCACAGTCATGTTACACCCAGAGGTCATCCAGCTCCACTCCTTCACAGATGATCGGCTTCGGTGAATCGGACAATACCGGCACTGTCCACACCGCAGGCGCTCTCAATCCTCCCTGTGTCGGTCCTCATTTAGGCCCTGATGCCATCTGGGGGAGGAAATAATTATGCCCCATGTCACATCAAGAAAATTGAAAGCTCCTTAGCCACGTGGAGCGGGGTGGGGGGGGGTGGGGGCCGATGTGTTTCAGGGGCTCGTATGGATTTGCGACCCCTGGCTTGGTCGTAAAAAAACCCGGCTGCTAAATCTCTGCGCGATGACACACTGACGATGCAGATAGGACGGACTGCTGGCATATAAAATCGAGAACGATGCCATGCAGCAATGAGAGTTAATTACAGAACGGTAGCGTCAGCGACAAGAGCCTACAAACAGCGTTAGCTAATTACATACCATTAGGCATTGCATAATCAGCAGTTAGACAAATGGGACGCCTTCTTCAAGAAGTGTCCAAGCCCTGTGCCGTAATCAAAACACAACTAAACAAGCCTGTCAGTCTTATTCAATAACAGCTTATGCAATCAGTCACCTGGCTTTCGACTACGCAGCTGCTTTTGACAGTATAAACATTAATGGCTTTCTTTATAGCACACGGCTAATCGCTATATTATACATGAAGGACCTGAATGATACGCTTTTTTAAAAGGTATTTGAAATTAATTAATAATGAGTTAATTAAAATAGGGCTTCAGTTCAGCATAGCGCCTTTATGTCTGAGAGCTTCGGACGTACCCCCTAACTCTCAAAAAGGAATTCTCCGGAAAAAATTCCTACAAAATCCCATATGTCATACAAATACCTGCTAACTCACCGCTCAAATTTGTATCAGGGTTCTTTTGAGGGAGAAACATGCGGCCTAAAAATGTATTACAATGAATTTTTTATTACGACAAAAAACTATATATTTTTTTGCTTTTCCGTAGTGCTGTGTCAGTGAGCAACGCTGATGTCCTGCTGTTTCTCCATCACACCCCTGCAGTAAGGGGGGGTATTTCTGGTATTATGACAGCTCAATGGGGAAATTTCTTCTTAGCATTGGGCAAGCAAAAATCACCTAATGGTTTCCATGGCAACGTGCTCCTTGGAAAATCTTCTGTCAGGTGACACGATCCTTCATGTGAGAGTCTTTCATGTGAAGGTCAAACGCAGCCCAGAGGCCCTTCCTGGACCTGTCTTTACTGGCTACTGGGTGAACTTCTGCTAAAACCAGTGGGACACATGGTACCCAAGCACAGGTTCTCAAACCGGGTGCATCTACAACCAAAGACATAAGCGTAAGGAAAAAGGAAGAGTGAACAGGGTGTGATTTAATACATGGCAAAAGACAATTTTACGCCAAATCAGACGGCTGCTCTGGAGTCTACACTAGAGTGGAGAGTATTTCTAAAGGAAGGTAACAGTGGCATCTCTGTTTTTGGACTCTTGTATTGTGTGGAATATTTGAGCAGTACTTAAATATGCGTGCCATTACCCAGAAACCATTGCCCCAAACACATGAAAAGTATGTCTACTTGAATTTGTTTACTACACTGTTTAAAGGTTGATATCTCTCAACCACATCAAGGTGGATGCTGTCACATTATATATGATTTTATTTTATTTTATTTTATTGTTTTATTTTTCCCTTCATGCAGTTAATGTCTCATTTCACTCCAGAGGATGCAGACATTAGCAGTGAGAAAAGCTGAAATGTATTTTTAGAGTAATTTCCAGTGAGGTAATTACCCGGGCTTTGAGGGAGCCGTACAGGTTGGCATGGAAACCATGGAGTCCCCCTCCCCAGCTGTTAGAACATCTGTGGGAGCCCCTCCACCCATTTTCCCACAAACACACACACGTGCGTGTGTGTGCGTGCACGTGTGCACATTAAAATGTGTCCGTCCGTCCCTTTTCAACAGCTCATATTAAACTCAGGAAATATAAGTTGTAAAACATGATATCCTAACGAACACACCATTCCTTCCATATATCTGGTTGAACCTATCCCTTGTTATTTATAGTTTTGCTTATAGAGTGTGATGGGTTAAATCAGAATGTTGAGATTGCGGAGTTGACTTAAATGTGGATTATATGGATACAGGCTTTTCGGAACGTTTGATGTGGCATCCAGCAGCATTCGTCCCATTAAAGGTCATTCAAGGAGAAATTAAAAATGTATCTATTGTACAGAAAAGGCTAATTTTGGGATCATTGAACTCCACTAATCTTGGGGATGTGGTAGTCTATAAATAAGATGTAACACGTAGTGGCTGTAACACGTATATCAATGGAAAGTCAAAACTGATGGAGTACATGAAGGACATAAACAACCAGCCTGACGTTTATCATACAGATTGTAACTGCAGCAGACTTTCCCTGTCCCTTCAGTGTTCCTTGTTGTGATTGGTCCCTCGTGATACGTCCGCTCCGCTGATTGGCCACTCTGTTTCACTTTCCTTGCTTCTGGAGGCTGATTAGGATAACGCATTCGCCGTTATCAAAAGTTTCCGTTAATGGGAACAGGGACAGCTTGACACGAAGGTTAATTTATCAGTCACTTCTGCTTGTGTATATTTTCCACTGTTTTTCAGCTGGGCTGTTTGAAGCTTGAGTTTTCCACATTTTGCTGTTTTCTGTGGCATTCCATTGTCCTCAGAAAGCAATGAAACAGAGAGGGAACTTCAAGGGATTAGTGTAAAACATGTCCTTAGCCTTTTTAAGGAGATGGAAGAGGGAAGCGTGGTGTGTCTTTCAAATAACACCGGATGCTGGACAAATTTTGCCTATCGATCGAGGCTATAAAAAGCACTTTCTCACGAGAGGCTCGCAGAATCGCCCACGACATGATAACTTCGCGTACAGCTGACAGTTATCGGTGTGACCTTTAGCTTAGCGCTAACCGAATACGACTCCCTCTCCCCAGTGTGTGTTTTTCCCAGGCTCCTTGGGTAATTTGCCTCTCGCCTTTGGCAACGTATACCTCAAGTGCTTTGGGGGGGGGGGGGGCTTGCTATAAGAGTGGGAAGGTGCTCTCACCGGCTAGGTCACTGAACAGGGCGCTGTATCAAAGACAGCTTTGCAAACATGATTTGTTTAGTCTTGCCACATTACAGATTTTTTTTTTCCAAATCTTTTGATCCCAATGTACAATAGCTACAGAGCAACCTTTCATTTCTTTAAGAGTGGTACACAAGTTGTGATAACCATCAGGTTCATATTCTGACCCCGCTCTCGTGATAGAGCATGTTGCAGTTTTGTTGTGCAGGAGCTCTGATATTGTTTTGTCTCACTGGTGCAGAGCATTTGTTAGAGAGTGGAATTTTTCCTGCCCTTAGGATGAAGATCATCATCACCATCATCATCAGCCCCGATTCCGTCAGCATGACGCAGTTCCTCAGTGGGTGGTTAGGACGACCCCCCTCCATGAATCTGAGACTCCTTCAGCAATTCTCCATTAATGAACTTTGATGGCATCTGCAGCATAAACATAGTTGGCTGTGTGACTCCCCCGGTGATTGTATGACTGCCTGCGCACTTTTCCACTGGCGATGCTCAGAAAGATAAAAAAAACATTCAAAATGGACCGAATCCCCTCACACTAATAATTACGTGGCAGTCATGATGTGTAAACAGAGAATGATGATTAACCTTGAACCTTGAAACCCCTCCCCCCTGGGTGCAAAGTCAGGGCTACCAGACACCGGCATGAAGGATGGGGTAGAGAGGGCTTGGTACCGGGCATGTCCTCGTCCGAGAGGATGAGGCTGCACTGACTGAATAGACACATGATCCCACCGTGAAGTGCACACTGTTAGAAACTCGCCAGCATGGTCAATCTGCTCTGCAAAGGATCGCGTTCCCTAGCACTCTGATGCTGTAAGGAGATGCATGAGGCTACTGTGAGGCACAAACACAGACACAAAGCTTAGCTTTTGGTTCAGTGAGTACAAGTGGCAGTTTGCACATTTAGCCATTTTCATCCAATGCTGAATTAGCTAAGTGTTTTCATCACAACAGCGGTATCTCTTCTGTCACTTTAGTGCACTGTTTCGGGGGAGGGGCACACCCAGATTGCATGTAAATCTCCCCTCCCCATTAAACAAAACCATGACATACTTCAATGTCAGCTCTGCGCTCTTGTTTGACAGATCTCGCTCAGACCTGTGCTTCTCGGTCATTCTGCCGCTGATTCATTACTTTAGTGTCACTGGGGCCAACCCGCTCTGAGGCACGCTCCGGGCCAGGAGGGGCAAAACTCTACTTGTCAGATTTTGCAGTTCGAACCTAAGAATTACCGAGTCATACGTCTTCCCCACATGTGAAAAGCAACATGCCTGTTCAGACCAGCCGTTAACAAAGTGGCATATTCCCATTTACGTAATCATTCATTTGCATCCGACCCGGAAACACTGGCTCCGTTACCCACACGAGTTCCTGTTCTGCAGGGGAACTTCAGTCCGCTGAAGTTAAAACTGATTCCTGCAAAGGAGCAGTTTTTGTGACACAGAAAAAAGTGTGAACTCAAATAACCTATAAATGTAAATAAGCGTCTACGCTGTGATAATTTGCTAGCTGTTTTAAGCTGTGTTTACAGTTTTCCAGCTACGCCTGGCTTCTCTGGGGCTTATCTTCGCCGATATTGCGTTACATACTCCGGTGCTGGTGCACCACTCTGCGTGACCTACATAGTGAAGGAGCTCAGCTCAGGTAATCTGCATTGATTTAATTAACTTCACATTAAACTGCCTTTCGGGGTCAGAATGAAAATTGGGCCAAGTACAGATTATGCCTCTGAGATCAGGGAAGATGGCCGAACTCTTTAAATTGTTTAACCTGGGCTGTTCTCCATAATGGTGCATTTCCCGGAACATCCTTTGTCAGATTCCCATTAAGGAGAGCGAAAAGCAGGACTGCATTCATAACATGAAACTTTGTCTGAGTAAACCCAATTATCTGCATGTTAGTCCAAATTAAAAAAAGGAAGAATATGTTAAATGTCAGCAGTGGAATGACTGTATGAAAACATGGGTACATCCTTTGGTCATCCTGTACATTCTGGCCGCTCTCTGCTATATAGTGTAGTGCTGTTTGTCTATTCTGCTCCGTGCATGAATGTAGGTGTTGTTGAAGTTGTATGTTGGCTCACTGTTGAGAGATTTTACTGCAGAAAACGCATCAAAGTGAGTTGTGCTGCTGGTAGACACTTCAATTCTAAATCATGAGTTGGACCATAGTCATCACATTCAGACATTCAGAAGGAGGTGATTAACGTATGGTGATGACTGACTGGTGTGTGGGCTCCCAGTGATGCTACTATGCCACACTTTTCAGAGGAGTCTTGCAGGCTTGGGTGCTGTTTTCACCACTGGCCTGTGTGTGTGTGTGTGTGTGTGTGTGTGTGTTTGTGTGTGTGTGTGAGACGGCACTTTTTTTCCACACACTACAGGCCTCATTTTTTCGTTTTTACCGGCTAATCTCTGCGGCGATACCTCGAACGGCCTGTGCTCGCGTGTTAAGGTCGCCGTTTTAACGAGGTCTGACATTTACACACGTCGCTAGGAGTGTTTAAAGAAAACAGTGGTGCAACCAAAATAAATACAGGAACAGATGAGGGGGAGGGCCAGAGAACGTCATAGCGCCACACGTGTGTAAAGGCGTGGGGTGGGGTGGGGTGGGGGGCATCAGGGCCAAGTTCCAGAACGGTCACGGGTGGGGGAACGGCGGCGTTTTATAGACCACACATTCTGTCGCTGGAGCGTTTCTGGGAACGGGGGGAGTGAGCCATTGGCGTGAAAAGTCTCCCCATGGCCTCGGCTGACCTTGACTTTCCCTTGTGACCGTTAAAAGAGCAGGTGACCAAGCTGACCACAATATTCCTGTGACAATGAAAGCAGCAGGTGACCAGGCCGACCTTGGCATTCCCGTGCCCCCGTTAAAGGGGCAGGTCGCCATGGCGATCCTGTGTCCCCATACAGGAACTCGTATCCACACACCTCCGTCTCCAGGGCCAATGGACTGAAAAGCGTCAGTCGGTTTTCGCAGGTTCTGAAGTGTCCACATTACTGAAAGAGGGCAAACAGGATCCCTGAAAACGTACATTCCGGTGTGAAACACAGAGCAAAAAAAAAACACTATTAATAATTACTGTCGCAATGAGAAGCGAACAATCTGTTACCTCGGGTACTCCTCTACACATCTAATACCACAGGTTACTTTGTAACATTTATCTCCTTTTATGATTGACGTGGTCTTTGAAAACTTGAACTTTGTGTCAGTCATCAGAAGAAAATGAGGAACACATTAGCGTGCAGACTGAGCAGCACTCTGTGTTCCAAGGCTGGCACTGTGTCTACCACCGTCCAAACCCTAATAGCCTGGATGGCCCCGCGGCTTGGGGGGCTATTTCGGGAAAGACTTTATTCTGATTTCCCTTTGAAAAGAGAGAAAAAAGTGCTTCTAAATATATTGTGCCTTTGTGCAGCACAGTGAGAATTTTTTCCACCGAAGGGCTCTGAGAGTTTGACCTGACACTGGGCCAACGCCGAATCCTTTTCTGTGATTATGATGTTTTTCTAAGAGTGCAAACGCTGTTTGCTGAGTGTGTGTATTTTTAGGGGTGCGTGTGGGTGTGTTGCTGCATCTTTGTGTATTTGCTGTGAGCTTTTTCGCCGTTAGTGCGTCAGTGAAGGCGCCTTAGACTCTGACATCCATGTCTGAATCCTGTTCATTTTACTGCCTCTGGGTAGAGAGGAACGTGGTAGATTAAACTATGAGGGATATTTTGGGTAAAAGACTTTCCGGAGAACTGTTTGTCTCCCTGAAGCTCCTCATTTGGCTCTAGAGGAAGTTGGATGACCAGCAAGACCCAGCTTTGTCCCTCAGGACTTTGGAACATTTGGGATACTTTCTCCAGTCCTGGCATCTTTTCATCTCATCCACAATGTGTGCCTGCTAACCTTCCACCACGCCTGTCCCTCCACTCCAGCTCGTCCTTCTCGTCCCCTTCCAGCTTCATCTCGCAGCCGCTTGTCCTCACACCTCTGTCTTGTGTTTGGGTCTCATTCCTGGGCTTCTGGGGAAGCGTCGTCCCGTCGGCTTCATCTTGGCGGTAATAGTAGCGTGCTCTAGGAACGGCTGAAGGTGTCTCCTTATTCTGGCGGAGCAGCAGTGTGACCCCCAGGCTGCGGGAGCTTTCAGGCAGGGTCTGCTGGCTGTGAACGATACCAGCTTTTGTTTTTTTTTGCCAGATTGTGCTTCGGGTTGAGTAATCCTAACCGATGAAATTTCGGGTAATGAAACAATGAATATTAATAGTCATGAATAGACATTTTCCACTAGTCTCCATTGTTTCATGCAGAGACATGCAATTCAAGGTGCACCTGATGCAGCTGCAATACCTCCAGGGACCCCAGGTACCGTGGAGACACAACCCTGGCTAAACAACAGAAAATCCCAGCCAACCGCTGTCCGAATGACGACCCTCAGCCTGCAGCCCTGCGACACGCCTGGAGAGAAGTAGTCCAGACAGCAAGTCGGACACGGCGTCACCTTCCCGTGCAGGACAGCAGCGTCACAGCGCGTCTGCATGACATCACCGCTGGAAGCTGTCCAGGAGGCTGCAGGGCCGACTCCCACGGGAGGGAGCTGCAGGAACAGGGCCAGCTCTTAGTATAATGTAAAATGTCAGAGCTGCACTGCTTACAAAGAAGAACTTACTATAACCTTTGCGGAATTATTAATGAGTGAATGAGTGTGTGTGTGTATTTATATGTAGTCAGGTAGTGATAGTATTACTATGCAGTTTATATATTTATATATATATATATAATGCATATTTGTGTATATATATTTGTACATATATGAATATACTTACAATACAAATCATACACATTTCATGTATCTGTTCCATACACATATTCGGGCAGATGTCTCTCCAGAGTCTTTTTCATCTGGTTGGTCGTACTTCTCCTCTCCACCTGTTGAGGGATTGGCTGACAGGTCACTGGAACCCTGGAGGATTGTGGGGCAGCTCTGTGAGCGGGGGCACATTCGAGACCAGAGCCGGCGAGAGGGCGGGGGGCCAATCCCAGGCCTATAATAAAGATTCCTGCCGGGACCGTAGCGGCGACCACATATGGCAAGGCATGCTGGGAGAAAAACCGTGTGTCACCGAGCCACAGAGGCAGCCTGTAGTTACAGGCCGCTCATTTGCCTTGAAAAATATTTCGGAGCGATCAATTATCTGAAATGTCAGCTTCAGCACTGTGTTTACTGAATGTGCTCTTTTCCACTGTGTGGTAGATGCAGTGTGATTCTCTGTGATCGTCTCACAGCCTTGTGTCACTTAGAACCCGAACACAGTGTGGGGATCATTCCCAAATCCCTTTCAAGCTAGATCATACTTTAATTAAAGAACCTGTTCAGTTTCTCTCATTGACATTTATTTCAGATAATTATTCTGAATAGCCATAATGTTGTGAGAATATGAGACTCACATTATCAAATGCATCTGGAATGTGTTTAAATTTTAGTTTGTTTTAGTCGTTTATCAATACTAATCTTTGAGGCATTTCATTAGATTTTTTAATAAATATGTATATATATGGTTTTTAGATATAGATTCCCAGAGGAGGATCGACTCAGAGGTGTAACATGAGGGGCGCCGTACTATCCCTCCTGGTGATAAAAGGAACAGCCCCCGCTCAACTCCTGGCGGACTCATCACTTCATAATTTATTCAGACAGAAACAGGCTCCAAATGACTTTTGGTGTCAGTACAGGGGCGTTGTCGTCCGTGAGAAACTTGTAGGGCAGCATATTTTAAGATTTAGAGGTCAAACTTTATTCGTTCCCATGGAGAAACTGGCTAGTTTTCACACATCCCAGCTCTCCATGACAGACACACATGTACATACAGGCCAGAGAAAGTTATTTGGGGTCAGAGAGCACGGGTCTGCCAGCAGCCCTGGGGCAACTGCGGTTAAGCTTAAGGTTCTTGCCTAACCAGGTGCTTTCTGGAGGTAGGCGCTGATATCATGTTGACCCAACCTCCACCTCCACCCCAAACGGAGTAGACCGGCCTTGAAGCAGGATGAACACCTGATCGTAACAGCGAGCGCATGTTCTAACCTTCATGCCCGGGAGCTCGAGGGCTCGTGGAGGATTGCTCTGACCTCAGCTCTTCAGGAGCTTGCTTACCATTATGGACAATGATGCTGCTTGAAATGAGTTCTCAGCTTGATTATGTATTTATCAGGGGCTGTGTTGAGTTGAACTGTCCACAAACATCATCTAGGTATTCCCTAGGTATTCAGATTCCCTGCTTTCCCCTCATAAGGCCTAGTTGCTAAGCATGTGGACGCTTCTTAGCATTCACGCAAAGTTCTTCAGGTAGATGTATGTGTGTGGTGTTTTTTTTTTTGTCTTTTAGCATTTAGCGTATGTCTTGGCTGGATGCTGTTAGTTCCCCAGCTGGCTTGGCAGCTGGCTACTTATTTTCCGGTCTTTCCTGTCTCCGTTTGACGCAGGTGTGGCTGCGTGTTTGTCCATGCGCTGGAGGAACGTTTCATAACGGCACTTTGCCCCTGAGGCAGGTGTTTGGGTGTCAACACTCACGAGAAGCTGTCATCGCTAACCCCTGGTTCCAACCTTTATGCTTCACTGTCAGGAAAGCAGAAAATTGAAACGCTTTTTCAGTCCCACGCCTG